AGAACATGCAAACTCCACACACATGGAGCCCAGGCAGACACCTGAACCCGGTGCCTTGAGTAGCTTACGTAATGAATTCTGGAAGAATTGAAAAAAACGTTTGAGGAGGCGGACCAATAGAGTCTTGTTTTAATTCTGCCAGAAACGTTAGTATTTAACGGCAATTAGCTGAAATTAGGTCGGAGAGACACTGATGTACTGTATTATGTGACGTTGTGGAGTTTTTGGATTATTTTATGCAATTATCCAGATTAACTCAAATCCTTCATTCAGTGGTGTAGTGGAGGGTAAATGCACATAAACGCCGTTTACTCACCTTTTAAATTTACAAAACAGCATTTACTCACCTTTTTTGAGATCACTAATGTTAAGTATGTGAATAGTTACCCACCGTTTTTACTGCTGCGCATATAGTTTACCCACCTTAAATTTCTTGTTAGCACTACACCACTGCTTCATTTCTTCATGATAAAAATTTACAGTAATATCAAATGTTGTAGTACTCAAGACCAGTTTTTGAAGGTCTCGATCTTGTCTTTGAATCAGCCGTATTCGTACTCGTTCTTGTCATGGACTCGAGATTTTATTTCTAGACCAGCCGAGACCACAACTCTGAGAACATTCCTATTAATGAGCCGTTTACTGTCGGATTGGATAACTTCTCACTTCAAGTGCAACCAATGACGTTACTGCCGACCGCGTTAGCCGCCTCACCCTTTCACACACGCACATACTGTATGTGTGCACATGAACACAGGTGAAGTCTTGGTTGTCTGGGAAAGATGTCGACACAATCGGCCATTATCAAATGTGGCTACATATACCACAAAGTGTTTACCCTACCATGTATTAGGGGGGCGCCCCAAGTTAATTTGATTTAATTTTATTTTCTATATAGCGCCAGATCACAACAGAAATCATTTAAGGCTACCTTTCCTATAGAACAGGTCAGGTCTATATCTTGTCCTTTTATTAAACAAACTATAGATAGCCTTATGTTATTTATCTTATTTACAGTTCATCACTGTAGTATGCGCACACAACCGTTCACGGGTTTTCCCTCACCAATCGTCTTATATGTGCCATTCAGTCACTATAAAGTCTATGGCGTTTCACGAGAGCGCAAGCCGGTGTTCTGTCTGAACTGCATATAGGCCCACGCAAAAAGGCTCTATAGTACGTCTCGATAGGTAGCTTAACTCGTCAGAACACCGGCGCATTCTAGTGTAAAATGCGGAAAAGATTTTTTCTCCGCAATAAATGTTTACTTTGTTTGTCCATAATAAATGCAGATGTGTATCAAAATTAAATAACATTAGAGCATTATTTAATAATTAATAATATTCTATGTAGCAGCAGCGGTAGTCTGTGCCTTTACACTAAAAACCTGGAGTACTAAATATATTATCTAAAGCACCATGCTGGTTGCACTTTATAAAAATTTTGTGTTTTTCCTTACATTGATTCAGCTGCTACAAAATTATTTTTTTGCACTCGTTTTTTAATGTGAGTTGCTGGAAACAACTTCTGTACAAATACAGTTTGGGTTATTAAAAAATGCTGAAAATCCCCCCCAAATAACATGCAATCGCTTAATCAAAAAAAAAAAAAAAACAATCGACAGATTAATAGATTAGATAGCCCTAATTTCTTCATGTAATATTTAAAAGTAAAATCATTTTAAGCTTAGTATTGGTTCACAAAAAGTTTGCTCACAACAATCGGACCACAAGGAAGGTACGCAGAAAACTGTGATGCGTCGGGGAAAAATCCGCGATATAGCGGGGGATCACTGTATTACTAATATGCTTATCGAATTGTGGGCCTAAGTATGATCCGTATAGTGCCAAGAAGACGATGTTCATTATCTAATGCCCTGCAATGACAGTTTGTTGTAAAAAATATGTATTTAACTTAAATGAAACATTCAATTTCATTTTCTGGAGGAAAAGTGCAGTCGGATTCTCTTAGCACCACGGTTATATTCAGGGATTGCATAACTGGTATATGCAAGTAAGCATTCAACTTTAAAAGCGATACGTGACGCAATCGATTAATGTAATAGCACAAATACAAACGTATTGTAATAGTGAGTAGCTGAGCCATGCTCTCAGTAATTAGACAGCAGAGATAGTTCGGGGTTCAATCACCAAATGGCGTTTATTGCACCCGTACTACTGCAATCACACACATTCATCGTTTCCTTTACTCCTCATACACACACATACACAACGTCCAACAATTAATAAACATTAACCACTATACAGGACATAACACAAAGCACATTTATAATCACACAAGCGATTACTGAGAACTATTTCCAAAGCTGGCATCTGTCCAACCTGCCGGTACCTTCGCGCTACAGTATTTTATGTGCATTTGCGCCGACATGATAAGAAATTACCGCAAATCCCACATTGAAAGAACCTATATGAGGATATATGCGCATATATGAAACCTATATGCAGTATATATGCATATATATGCTGCATATATACGTATATATGCCACATATAGGCAAAATTGAGGTGCATATATGTGCATATACAGGCCATATAGGTCTCCTGTATTGCTTCTTTATATCCACATATAAGCCCTATATGTACATACAAGATATGT